GTTAGCTTATTAAGCATGTGCAGAGTGCTTGATATATAAATTCTTTTCTAGCCTTAACCAAGTGAAGTAATCATCCCCCAATGGAATGGCCTTGAATGATGATACAGAAAAGAATCCATAATTTAAACACTTCAGTGTGTCTGAACTATGACATCTCCTCATTTGCTAAGATAAAACTTCTTTACCTAACTATATTATAACCCTAAACTCTAATTAGCAGTGGAAAAATGAGATTACAACAGTAAACATGGCAATTTGGTTGACATAGTAAACAACCCTGCTGCACATAATCAATTTAGGCTCCTGGCAATACTGAAGGGGAAGTCAAAATATTTTTTGGCTTTTACCCTGTCTTATGTCTGTAATAGTTCTGCACTCATGAAAACATATGCATTTATAAAAACACTTCTTGTAGTTATAATTTAGATTTGCAGATGATACTACATGTGATTTGGATCTAAGAAGAGATCAATATTCCAGTCTGAAAAGATAATCCACCAAAGCAAAAACCCATTAAAATCCTAAAATCATTTCATCTAAATTTTTTACATTAGCTTATTACCTAAGAAAGTTTTATGTCAATATAAAATCATGGTTCCATCATTTTAATAGGTTAAATGTAGCAAATAAAATTCTTCTTCCATAAAGTAAATCTTGAGTATGTTGGATTCATATACGTACTAATGGCCTTTCTTATCTAACATTATTTTCTGTAGTACTTTTCATCGTTTCTGATTCCCCCAAAGACACAAAATTATTCTTCTGTTCTGACCACTAAAAGTTTTCTTACTATTTTTGTTTCATCTCTTTTTCTCTTTGTCTTTTTCTTTCTTTCTTTCTTTTTTTTTTTTTACAGTTGGCTGCTTTCTTGTATTACACATTTGTCCTACTCTCTGAACTGAATTGCTCTCTCATAAAGCTAGGTCTTTGCTCCCTGGAATCCTATTCAGCAAGAACAAAATACTGGTAATATAAGTAGCAAAAACAAAGTATTTCTTTTCCCTGGAGTATAATAATAATAATTCCATAGAACCTATATAATACTGAAATTTTATTTCTTTTCTCTTTCTTTCTCCAGAAAAAGCAATATAAATATTTAGTGTCAAACAACTATATTTGTTGGGATGTCTTGCATATCATATTTCCTAAAGTTAATGAAGTCACAATCATACTTGAAAACATAATAGTTGTGGAAACAAAATTAATTTTGGACAGATCCATTTATTAATAAATTATGTTGTAGCTAGGAGCCCCCAGGAAACTGATTTGCTGAGCAATATATTCCATGCATTTTCCAACCTGCATACCTCATCTTTCAACTCTGTATTTTAAATAGGTAATAGTAAATGCTCATGACCTTTTGAGTCCTCCTCCAAAAGTATTACTATTGGGTTATAACTAAGTAATTGAATTTGATTTGTATCTACATTAGTTAATTAACCTAATTATTTTCCAGAACAGTCAAGCGCATGTTAGACCCTGGAAGACCAAACAACATTTTATAATAATCATTACCACTAAACTAGCATCATTAAAAAACAACCATTAGTAGCCCTTCAAATTTGTGGATATCACCTACCAAACCACAAATCAAATTAACATGTTCTTCATTTATTTTTTATTAGCTGTTAACATTAGGCAGAATTCCCTGTTGAAAGTCAAGATTAGCTGGCATGGGCTTAGTATTTGTCACTGATTGAGTTTATACAAAAGCACATGCTAATTGTTAATTATATCGATTAATGTGTTTTGCATTATGATTTTAAAATGTCTTGCCAACAATATACTTTATTTAAGACGACAAGCACCACTTATCACTTATCAGTATCTGTCTCAGATAGAGATTTTGATCTTAAAAAAGGTCAAGTTGAAATAATTCAACTCATTTATATAAAAATGTGAATGAATAGGCAAAGATATGGTTAATTATAAATTTAAATGACTTCTACAAAAATAAGATCAGGAATAAATAAGATTAGGAATCTATCTTGTTCTTGAAACCAAAGAATCAATAAAGCTGACTGCCTCTTGATCTCCATCCCTGATTACACTGGACCCAAGGTAGAAATATCTACCTTCCTTAATGGCTTTTTAAAATAGGTAAGATTTAAATCCAGGCTTTTCCAAGCATCTCTTTGTGGTCTCTGGAAAGAATCATAAATTCTGGCTTTGTGCACAACATTAAACAACAACAAAGAAGATTTTAATAGTTAATAAAGTTCAGTGGCATCAACAGTCCTCTCTATATATTGTAGGTTTTTAAGAAAGTCACCTCTCAAGATTAACTACGTAATTGGATGAGACATAAATTCATTTTTCAAGAAAAACTGGGTTGAAGTCCACATGGTTCAGCTTCACTGCCTGATGACAGACTCTGTCGCTTGGGTCTGACTGTGGGGACCTGGCATTAGAAACAACTTCCAGAGGAAGAATGATCCATGAAGAAGAAGGAGGAGGAGAAGAAGAAAAACAAGGGACCTTTGATAATATCATGTTTTTCTAGAAACATTATGTTGTAATCCTCGGTGCCTAGCTGAAGGCTAAGTCCCAGTCACCTACACAAATTTATTTAAGCAACAGATGTAGTAAGCATCTACAAAGCTTGTCAGCACTCTATAAGGTCAGGATGAAGACTCTTTAAAATTAAAATTCTAGAAAAAAGAAAAAAATGGAGGGCTGTAATTTTATTCCACTGATAAATAAAATGTTTGACATCTATAAAATTTCGTATTTTAACTTAGTGAATAAAATATAGTAAGAGTTTTATTAAACTAGGAACTAGTGATTGATCTAGAATACTCCTAAGAACACACACATACACACAGATGGCATGCCAATAATTCTACCCATTCTTACCAATCTTCACAAGATATTTAAATTTCTGAAGCTGGAATTTGGCAATATTCCTTCCTTAGCAAGAATTAAATCAATTTAATGGCATAGGGTGAATGTTTTAAATGGAGCTTGGCAGAATAAATTATTCCATCAAATCACTGTCAGTCTTTTTTTTTTTTTCCTTCTTCTTCCTCTTCTATACTGTATCCAAAAAAAGGTTATTTATTTACAGTTTGGTAATGTCCTGGACAGCAGAACAGATAAGGAAAGACTGCCTCTCAAATAAACAAGTACAGAGCCATTATTCTTAACAAAAAGCAAGACCAAATTTTCAGGAGAAAACACCCTAAGTAAAATGAATACACAAACAAGACAAAACACCCATTTGGTCACATTTAAGTGCTACCCTTGTGAGTTCATTTAATAATATTCAATACTCCTTTAGTAACATGCAATATACTTTTACATGGATTACAAGTGCTATCTAATACAACAGGGTTCAATAACTGAAAGGATTAGAAAATGTAATGAGAAAGAATTCCTAACAAAGGAATAAAGTTTATGAGCTAACATGGTCAGGATCCCATTCAATGCAAGTCCTCTGGGAAAATCCTTCCTTAAGTATGCAGGATATTCATTTGCTTTTATATTATTATCTTTCAGTAAAATACATGTCCAACAAAACACACTTCAACACGTGGAACATTAACAATATAAGAACCAACATAAAATAGATATTCATCCAAAGTTACCCTCCACACATCTAAAGGTGGATATTATAATCTCTGCTTTGCTTGATTTCATCATGATATCACACTCAGTAATTGTTCATCTCTATAATACAACATCAAAGAGAGGTAAAGAGGAAGGTCTCTGCAGGAAAATCTCTTCCCTCTGCCCATTTCCTCCCCGGCTCGCTCCACCCTCCACGTTCAGCAGGAGAAATTTCATTTTGGAGAGAATGTACTTGGCATTTGACATATCACATAACATTTACTCAAGAGTTAACCATTTTTAGAACAAACTGTGTTATATGTACTTTTTTCTTTCCTGGAAATTTTTAAGTTGCCAAAGATTCGACCAACATAATCATTCATTTGAATGTCCTTTGCTGTACTACAGATATCATAAATAATATCCTTCCTTCCTTCCTTCCTTCTTTCCTTCCTTCCTTCCTCTTCTCCCTCCTTCCTTCCTTCCAGTTTGGACACTGCTCATTGAGTCAGCTTTCTGGTTTGCATTTGGTGAGTGTAATGCCCCCTCCCAGGCAAGGAAGAAGGAATAGCTCTGAATAGCAGCTGTCATGGCAGAATCATCGCACAACCAGGCACTTGGTGTTACAACACTGGCAAGTGTCACTGTAAAGTGCCAATAGGAAGAGTAAACTGTTCCCAGTTCTTTTCTTTGACCTGTTCCCTGTCAACTACGATGCTTGGACAGAATCTTATTCTCTCCCCGTTACTGTATCAGTAGGGTAAAAGGGTTTACTTAACCACGGAAGATAAAAATAGACTGGATTTCCATAACAACTATATGACTTTTCCCACTTTGGGATAAGACTAAAAAAAGCAGGGCTGGTCATCAAGTCATAATTAAGCATTAGCATGTAAGCAGAAACATTATCTTAGATTGTCACAAAAACAGCATCAGATAAAAGCAGCAAAAAAATGTTCCAGGCCGGCCTTGGTAACCAGGAAATTCTTTTCAAAGGTGTTTCCTTTTTGAGCTTTCCCAATTTGTACTCAGTAATAAAGTTGGGGACCTAATGTGATGTTCTAAATGTTCGCTTTCAATAAATAAATAAATAAATAAATAAATAAATATTCCCTTTCTGTGTGTATATTATGTGATTCAAAATAGAATACAAATTTTCCAACCCATCATAAGCGGTTTGATAAACTGTGTCACAGAACTCATTTTATCATAATTGCTATAATGTACTTAAAATACGCAAAAGCACGGAAGTGAAAAATAAAACCAAATTAAGATCTCTGTATGGAGCATATTGATAAGTGTGGCACAGCAGGGATAGTTTTAAAGCGGTCTTGTATAGCAAATATTCCATTCTTTGTATACCATTTAGTTTAAAAAAAAAAAAAATCGCACCCACTCTCCCATCCACCAAGGCACTCGACCCCACACGTATGTATAAAAAAAGAACTTACACAATTTCATCGTTCTGGAATTCGAGCTCTCCACAAGTGTCCTCGAAGTCCTCCCCTCCACCTCTGGCAGTCCCTTCGATGGTTTTATAGGGAACGATAACATTTCCTCGAGCTCCAGATGTTCTCAGTACCTTCACCTCCATAATGCCAATGCTCTCACTCACGTGAGTCACGGGCTCCTCAAAGGTAAAGATGCCTGCATGGTCGTCATCAAAAATGGTCACAGTGGCGGTGGAAGGAGATCCGAGGCAAGCGAGTGTAGAAACATGATTGGCTTCCAGGATGCCATCTTCTGAGGCTTCCGAAGATACTTTAACATTGCTCAAATGCACTAGGAAATTTTCATCCTCCTCAAAGATATCGTCATCGATGATGCCAACTCTGATTTCCTTCTGGGTCTCACCAGGCTTGAAGACCACAGTTCCTTCGGTAAATTCATAATCAGACCCAGCATTGGCCGTGCCATCCTCTGTTCTGAAGTCAACAAACACAGTGTTAGTCAAATCACCACCTCTGCGGATAATGGTCAGGGCGACGGTACCACAGTTCTCCAGACACTGATAGGTCCCTTGTTCAAAGAAGATCTTACTCACAGGGTCATTTTCAGCCACTTCAGTGTTGACCTCATGCATGCTGACAGCCTTCCTCGCCTGGTCGGCTGCATGCCTCTTTAAAATGTTGCCAGCTCCAGTCATCAGGCGAGTAGCTTGGATGCGGTAAAATGCTCGACTTTTTTGCTGCTGACTTAGGACTTGGTAGTTAGCTAGTTCTATTAATTGCTCGATTTCTTTCTCTGGATGTTTTTGCTTGAGCTCCTTCAGAATCCGAGCCATTTCTCGCCTAGCCTCTTCATCATCTTGGTCCCTCTCATCGACCTCCAGAACCAGAGCGCCATCTAAGAAATTGTCAACATGGGAATTGATCACTTTCCCATCCATTTCAATTTCGGTCTTGGAAGATGGTCTATCTCCTTCATGCTCGATAATCATTCCCCTCTGCTTGCCAGCCCGATACCTCTTGTAGACATACTTGTAAAACAGAAGCCTCCTATCTGCTACCCAGGCGAACACGACACAGATGGGAAAGAAGAAGAAGGTAAGCAAACCTTCCCAGACCTCCACAACCCCAGGAGAGATGACAGACAAAATAATGTAAAGCCAGGTATAGGCAAAGATGCTCCAGGCTGCTGTCACAAAGAACACACGCAAATGCTTAATCTTCCTTGTCTCTCCATCTGGGACCACATAAACACAAAGCGCGATAATGATGAACATATTGAACGCAGCACTTCCCACGATGGTGCTAGGACCCAAGTCTCCTGCAGTGAAGTTATGGCCACACACTTCAATTACTGAAAGGAGAATCTCTGGAGCAGAAGAACCCAGGGCCATCAAGGTCAGGTTGGAAACGGTCTCATTCCAGATCCTCACAGTGGTCTTGGTGGTCTCTCCATTGGGTTTCTTTATGGTTATTTCTTTTTCTTGAGATGTGATGACTTCTATAGAGGACATGAACCGGTCGGCAATGATAGAGACTCCAAGAAACATGTAGACCATGGCCACAAAATACACAGTAGCTCTAGCAATTTTGTCTCCAAAGGAAGGGTCTTGGGGCTCCCAAATGGGTAAAATCACCCCTTTCTTACAGTAATACGAGCCAGTACACTCGCCGGTTTCATTGCCTTCTCCTTCCATTTCTGTCTCAGCACTTACAAGGTCCACGTGGGAAAATAAGAGAGCCACAATGGCTAACAGATGACATCCCATCGAAAAGGTAGGTGAGAGTCTTAACGGCAGCATGTTGTACAACGGTAGACTTCCAAGTGTCCCAACCTACTGGTAAAAATAAGATGGAGGGAGGGTGGGGGGAAAAAAATCACATCATCAGAGCCAGATCCAAAACATGACCAGTTACTGATTTTTATTGCTTTTACCAATGATTTGTTTATATTTGACTACCATAACACCTATAGTGAATCATTATTCTAAGTATCCATCAGCGATTAAGCAATCCTTTGTACAATTTATAACTCAATCTCTCCGCATGTGGATTTTCTACCTGTAGTCTCCATTCACTGAGCAATGTACACAATTGACTTACTGGAAATGAAAAGTTCAATTATAGCCTTGCCTTGTTGAATACATAGTTATGCATGCTAAGAGCCAATGGGGAGGGGGGAACCTTTTGATGCATTAAATAATTTTCTCCTTGTTGCTAATGCAGATTTTCTTTTAAATTTTGTTTAGTACAATCACCTTCCAGAAACTGTTTCATTACCAAAATCACCTTATTAAGATTGATGCTTTAAAGTTCAGACTCTAAAAACTTAACCAGTACAAGGCCTCTTGATGATCTTAAATTCTGGAGCAGACCTTCTACCTCATTTTTTGAAATCATGTCCTATTGCTCCAAACTTACTTGGGAACACAGAGATACCTTCAAGCTTTCTTACAAAGTCAATGGTAGTTGTACTTGAGGGGGAAAAAATATTCTGTAATGCAATCTTTCCGCACACAAAGTACAGTTTTTAAAAGCATATTTTGTTTTTAAAGATTTTATGTATTTATTTGACAGAGAGAGAGCACAAGTAGGCAGAGTGGCAGGCAGAGGGAGAGGGAGAAGCAGACTCTCCACTGAGCAGGGAGCCGGATGCGGGTCTCGATCCCAGGACCCTGGGATCATGACCTGAGCCAAAGGCAGCCGCTTAACCGGCTGAGCCACCCAGGCGACCCTAAAAGCATTTTATGATGAGAGCACATTTCCTCCTAATTTTCAGCAAGCCCAGTGCTCCTGATATGTTAGCAGCTGGGCATCTGGATCTTGAAGCACAGCTCCTCACATCTGGGGACAGATCTCTCTTTAGAATCTGCAGGCTGTCCACAGCAGGAAAGGGAGATAACCAGGCCTGGGTTTAGTTGTGTGTTAAGACTCCTGTCTGGCAGGCTGTGAAATCAGCTTTACCAGCCATAAAATGTTCCTTCTCGGTGTTGATGTCATCCTTTCCATGGTCATTCTAAAACACATATTAGTTCTTCAGAGGGTTCAAGTGACCAAAAAATACAGGAGCAATAATTCCATCTAAATTAGCTTGTGTGGCAGAACAGCAGTGACCACAAAGTATACATATGATGAAGGGCTGGAGGCAATTAGAGATAGAGCAACAGAGTCACTGAGCCGCACAAAGCTTGGTAAACAAAGCCAAGTGGCGACTGAAAAACCATGGTCTGAATTCACCCACCAGCTCAGGCAAAACGCCACCCCGCCCATACATCACTTCTGCCTCTAAGGCTTGAAAGGTGCTGACAGAGAGGAGGGTCTGCTCCAAGTCAGGGTAACTCTGGCCTGGAAGGCCAGTTCGGACATCAGATAAAGTGGTGGCAAGAAGGGGGTCCTAAGTCAGAACATAGCCTTGTGGCCTGATAAAAAGTTCACAGTGGAGCTAGACTGGAGCCTTCCATAGCCTGGGGTGGTCTGAGAGCCACCCACACACTCACCTACGTTTGCTGCTCATGGCATGCAGTGGAAATTCACTAGGGCCCGGGAAGAACCCCCTGGCCCAGTACATTCTGGCAGACCCTCAAAGAGCCCACCATTTGCCTAAAGCCCCTTTTAGCTCATCACTATGGGTAGATAAGCTCTGACATTTTTCCCAGATGAACACACAGCAGAGGGTTGTGATGGCACAATTACATTCTGCATAAAAGGCTGAAAAATAGAAAAGGCGTATTTCCAAAATATGCAAGATTCATGGTCAGTGAGTCTACTTATTCAGTCACTACAGGGCTTGGGTGGGATCACCACCTAAAACAAGGCAACAGTGAAGCAACCTACAAGAGTAGCGGAAGGTCTAGCTCTAAATCCATCATGCAGCCATTTATTCCATAAATATTTATGAGTGCCGCCTAACTATGTGTTTTAGAATCACTTGCTAGGCTCTCTTCTAGGTCCTAAGAGTTCATTAGAGAATTAAAAACCAAAAAAACCACAAAAAAACACAAAGTCTCTGTCCTTGCAGACCTTCTATTCCATCAGGGAGGAAATAAACAAATAAATGTAAATGTCAGATGCTAGAAAGTGCTGGAGGGGTAGGGGCGGAAGCAGTGTTAATTAGGACAGGGAGTCTGCCTGCATGAGTGTGTGTGTGAGTGTGTGTGTGTGTGTGTGTGTACACACATGGCATGCAGGATTTTATACTGGATGGTTAAGGAAGGCCTCTCCGATAAGGCGACATTGGAGCAAAATCCTGAAGGAAGTAAGAGACCAAGCCTCGTGGATATCTACAGGAAGAGAATTCCAAGCAAATGCCAAGACCCTGTGGGATTTCTCTTTGCATCATCTAGGAAACACAGAGGAACCAGTGTGATGAGAGGGCCATGAGCCAGGGGAACAGGGCTCCGGAGCTGGGAACACACTGGAGATGGATTATGAGGGGCATGGAGGCCACCATAAGGCACTGGCTTCGATTGTGAAAGAGATGGGGCTCGCAGGGAGGTTCTGATCAGAAGTGTGGTATCAGCTGCTTTTCCTATTAAATACATCTTTCTGCTGGTTCCGTGAAGAATAGAGTATAGGGGTAAGGGAGGAAACAAGAAGACCCGTTTTTGCCTTTTATAAAAAAAAATCCGAATTATAAATGATCCTGATGCCTGGCAGGTATAAAAAAACAATACAGTAGAGATCTCAAATTTAGAAGAGGAGAAAGAAACAATTTGTAGTGACCCTTTGGAAGATTTACAACTTCAAATGTCTTGGGAACCTGTGAGAATCAGAAAGGTTAAGTATTTGCTCCCAGGGAATAGGGAAAAGAGAGAGTAAACACAGAACAGAGATTCCAACCTGTGCCTGTCTCTAGGACTGATATAATCAACCACTTCCTTCAAATTCCTGCCAAATCTCATCCTTCCATTTTCACATTTCAGCCAAAATGAGCTTCCTGAAGTACAGATCTGACTCTCTTACTCCCCCTTAAAGCTTTTCATGGGTTGCCTCTTGCCCTAAAACCAAACCCAATCCCCTCAATAGGCTGTTCAGACCTTTTAGGATCTAGCCTCTGAGTTCTAGAATATGGAAATTATTTCCATTCCCTGACCACGACAACACTTTCTTACCTCCAGGGCTTTGAGGATTGTGTTTCCTGTGCCCCCAACTATTTTGTTTCTTAGAAGCAAATGTCAAAATCTCACAACAATGAATCATGGTCAGTTGCCCAAGAGAGTAACAGTAGGTTTAATTCATAAACATGATAGCAGACACTATGCTAAATTCTTTATATGTAGTATTATACCTAATACTTAACACTAGCCAGCATTGCTATTTTACACAGCTCCTGGTGTTGTCATTTCCATTACGGCCCATGAGAATGGCACCACCTGGAGTTGTGCAATGCACAGTGCCCTAACAATGACCCTATGCAGTAGATATTATTAGCCCATTTCGGAGATGGGATCACTGAGGCTCAGACAGGTTAAGTGCTTGTTGGAAGTCAGACAGACAGGAAACTCCTGAACTAAGATCCAAACGCTGATCTGTCGCTAAGACTGATATTATTAACTGCCCTATAAGGTCATCCCTGATAGTGTATGAAGTCATCTCAGAGAGTATTGGATTTGGGCTCGGACTGGCCTATTGGCAAACCTCTTGGTTTCCATGCAGGGTAAGGAGGGCCTCAGTAGCAAAAGTCCCATGGAAGGTTTCCAACAGCCTGGCTTTTATCTTATGGATTAGAGACTCCAACAGACAGGCATCGACAGCTGTGATGTAACGTGTGGGCTGGCATGCTCCTAGAGACAGCTGCCCTTCACCTGCCAGGTTTTTAGCAATTACCTGGCCACCTTTTCCTGCACACATTCTCAGGAAAATCTCTTAGGTCAGCCAAAAAAAAAAGCCCTCCCCCAACCCGCATCTCGCAGTTGCTCTTGGCCAAAAGGGTACAGATGTCTAAGAGTGGATGCATCTATAAAAATTCCGATCAGAGAAAAAGGAAGGGGCTTTCTGAGGTTAAGTCCAAAACATCACAATTATATTCAAAAGGTGGTAGAATTATAATTTGTGAAATCAGTGGACACAAAACACTAATACAGGTTTTAGGCAATGCAGCAACTGGAAAGAATTCTCTGGACTTCAGTTTCTTTCTTTATTAAATTAATACCAAATTCAAATGTTTGGGAGGAGGGGGGGACAGATATCATCTAAACGAAATGGCCTTCTTCATTCTTTCCTTTCAGGATCTTTTCTCCATCATCAGATTCAAGCAGATCTACCTGACCCTCCCCACTGTCTCCTCAACTGTGTATTTCCATAAAAATTCAGCAGGAAATAAAGGCTGTTACTATGTTGTTCTGCTGCCTGGCTTTTTTTATATTCTGCCCTGGTCTCCTGAACTCTGTAAGGGTAGGCTGGTTTTCACGGTGCTTTCAGATCAACTCTTACGTCCTCAGCCAGTTCTTGCTTAGGAATAGCCGTTGTGTCATCCAAATGAGGCTTCAGCACCATAGCAAGAAGACCCAGATGGTCTTCTGCTCACTACTTATTTTGAATCCAACAGACAACCCCAGCACCTATAGGGTACAGATGTGAAAGGCACATAAGGAAGGACGGGGAAAAGAGATCCAACTGAAAAAGCCCAGACACCAGGATGGAAGGGAGAGGGCAGAGGAAGAGGCCATGCACCTGCAACACAGATTTTTGGCAAACTGCCTTTGTAAAGCATGAGGAAGAGCCCTCCCCACCCCCCGCGGAGGCCTGAAGTGTCATCAGGCAGCAGAGCAATGGGTTCCTTGTGGGAAGCTGGAGCCAGGGTTGACCACCAAGTAGGACCTGGCTCGGAGAGAAG